TGTGTGTGTGTGTGTGTGTGTGTGTGTGTGTGTGTGTCTCAGGTGAGCGGGACTCCTCTGCAGGACAGTGAGATGAGCGCTGAGGTGCTGTTTGAGAATCCTCTGTCCTCGCCGCTCAAGAACTGCTCCGTCACGCTCACCGGCAGCGGCCTGCTCAAACAAACAGAGCAATCCAAGTGAGTCCCAGCTTCTCCCGCACGCACTAAACTCACACTCGCTGTGTTTATCACCTGCTCGTTAAGGTCTGCAATTTTAATTTCATTCAGATGATTTAATTTCATTTTTACTATCTTTATTTTGAAGTTACTTACTTTTTTAATTCAATTATTCACTTTACTTAATTTAATAAATTATAATTGATTATTTTTAGTAAGCTTTTTAAAGATTTATTTTTAAGTCATTTTCATTCAGTCATTCAGTTTTATTTTGATTGTTGTAATTTAAAATGATTTACTTTTAATTTAATACATTTTAATACCTTTCAGGTTATTTGTTTTAATTTTACGATTTAATTCTTATGTTTTATTTTGCTCATTTGTAAGTCGCTTTGGATAAAAGCATATGCTAAATCATGTAAATGTAAAGTTATTTACTTTTAATTTAATAAATACATTTTTTGTATATTTAAGTATTGTTCTATTTTGATGGTTTTAATTTAAAATGATTTCAATGTTACTTTTTTTGTACCATGTAAAATTATTAGACATTTTATCAGCCTTTCATCAAACTCACAAACCCTGATTTAGAGAACACATCAAAGTGATTCTTCAGAGTTTTTAACAGATGAAGCGTTTGTGTTCGGCAGCACCGTGGAGCTCGGCCCGGGTCAGAGAATCACACTGAAGGTGGCCTTCAAGCCCTACAGAGTCGGACCGAAGAAACTGGTGGCCAACTTCGACAGCTCCACCTTCAGAGACATTAAAGCCAGTGTGGACGTCAACGTGCGACCCGCCGCGTCACGACTGGGATTCCTCAGCTTCAACCGATAGAAGAACAAGAACCATCACAGCTTTTATTCACACAAACACCAGCCAACACAGGATTTAGAATTATCATCTCAACAGCTCATTTGTTCAACTGTGTTTAATCAGAATAAATAAGCATTTAAAGCAAAAAGTCTCTGTGTGTTGATTTAATAAAGGAGGTTTTGAGTGATTACATGAATCGTGAGCATGAGCAGATGTTAAGAATAATGTGAAAACATCACTAAATACTAGTGCTGCCAAACGAATAATCGCGATTAATCGCATATAAAAAAAAGGTTTTGTTTACATAATATGTCTGTGTGCTGTGTTTATTTATTATGTATATATAAATACACACACACATATAGTATATATTTCGAAAATATTTACATGTATATATATTTATATGATTATATAGAAATATGTTTAATATATAAACAACATATTTTTCTTAAATATACTGTATATACACATGCATGTGTGTGTATTTATATATACAAAATAAATATACACAGCACACACACATGTATTAAGTAAACAAAAACTTTTATTTTGGATGCGATTAATCGCGATTAATCGTTTGACAGCACTAGTATAAATACACACACATGATTATATAGAAATATGTTTAATATATAAACAACATATTTTTCTTAAATATACTGTATATACACATGCATGTGTGTGTATTTATATATACAAAATAAATATACACAGCACACACACATGTATTAAGTAAACAAAAACTTTTATTTTGGATGCGATTAATCGTTTGACAGCACTAGTATAAATACACACACATGCATGTATATATATTTCAAAATATATATTGTAATGTGTGTGTATTTATATATACATAATAAATATACACAGCACACACATTTTATGCAAACAAACACTTATTTATTTTTTTATGCGATTAATCGCGATTAATCGTTTTGACAGCACTACTAAATAAACTGCAAAATAAAGAAATGATATCAGAGGTCAAGCGTCTGTGAACATCATGAATTACAGCATCGTTCAGAAAGATGGACTAATTCATAGCTTTGGGAAATCTGGGGAACTCGGGCAAAGTTCAGACTCCATCGAAACACATTCTGCAGTCCGAGTTCTTCTGCAAGAAGAATGAAAGCACTGAACCTGGTTTATCCGAGCAAACGCTACGAGCCTCAGAGGAGCAGCAGGGATCGGATCTTCTCCAGGTTGTGCTCCACAGCGCTGTTCAGAAACTCCACCCAGGACACATCAGCCTCCACACAGACATGACTGGACCTGATTGAGACACACATCATCACCATCACATGAGGAGGGGAAGACAAACCTCAAACTCTGACACACATGACATTCTTTATAGCCAAAATATATTTTAATTACACTCTAAATATATGTTGTAAACAGTGAAATATATTTTTGAAATTGAAAATATAGTTACTTTCTCACTCATATATCAAAATATATTTCAAAATGTATTTCAGGGGCAAGAAAACACATTTCCAATCTTACAGTAGCCTACATTTAGGCTTAATTCATTACTTATTTTGTTATAAGTGTGTTATATGTTCACACGTGTTATAGACACCAAAATGTTTTTTCTTCAAATATGAATGTCTTTGAAGACATATGGAGAGCAAAATATATTTTCAAAAAATATGAAAAGTAGCCTCCTAGACTTTTAAAGCTATAACCACCAAACTCGGCCCAGACCTTCAGACTGGTCTGACTCGGGTTGCTATATATTTTCTAACTGATCGGACTTACGGTTTTCCTAAAAATGACAATTAAAACTGGGAAAAATCCCATAGACCTACATTGACGGAATGTTCAAATGAGTCAAGACTCTTCAAAATCCAACTGGCAAATATTCAGATCGAAACACACTGAAGCCCGTTAGACTCCATTAAGCTTCCCTTCTATGTACTGTTTCTAACCAAGTGGCAGCCTCGCGCTCTCTCTCGTGAAACCAACACGGAAGTGACTGAAACTGTAATTCATCGACTGGCCGCTAGAGGCTGGCTGCAAAAGAGAGTCAGTCCCATAGACTCCTCATGTTAAAATACCCAACTTTACAGCAGAAAAAAACATGTTTACAGCCTGGTATAAAAAGTGGTTTTGGTCTATATAGCTAATTTTGCCCTTCATGACAACTGTCCCGTTTAAACTTCCACTCTATCTAATATTTCTAATCTATCTAAATCATGTTAGCAAAATGCTAATAACATGCTAATCATGCTAGAAGCAGGCTAGCAACATGCTAATAACTTGTTAATCATGTTTACAACATGCTAGTAACTTGCAAATCATGCTAACAACATGCTAGCAACTTGTTAATCATGCTACCAACATGCTAATCATGCTAACAACACGACGAACTACGAACTACGGCTCTGTGAAGTAAATGCTGCTCCATCTGAAAGCATGTGAAAATACCACATTTAATAACATGTTTTACTCCAAACTCACTTCATAACGTCAGTCGAGTGTTTGAAATAAATCCTTCTGTGAGATGATGTGGCTTCTTACACAGAATAAGGCACGCGACATATTTCATAGTATTTAAGCAGTGATAAAGGCATTGCATTATAAATATACTTTATTTTAATGAAAATTTTAATAATAAGAACTCAGATAAACCGTATATTGCCGTAGTCGTGTGTTTATTAGTCACGTTGAATCAATGAAAGCAGTTGAATCTTCTGTTTATTCAGCTGCAGCGATTTTCTGGGTTTCTTCTGCGAGGCGTATTTGGAGTTTCTCTGGCCTTTGGATGGAGATTTACTGCTGATCACAGAACCGTGCTTCACTGAAAGATACGCACGACAATCACAGCTTCTGTCGAATCGCGATCTCGATTCCATTTCGATTTATCGTGCAGCCCTACTAGCAACCACTCTGGGCACCCTAGCAACCGCAGAGCAACACCTTAGCAACCAACCCAGGTACCCTAGCAACCACCCAGGTAGCCTAGCAACCACCTAGCAACACCTTAGCAACCACCCTGGGTACCATAGCAACTGCACAGCAACACCCTAGCAACCACCCTGGGTACCATAGCAACCGCATAGCAACACCCTAGCAACCAACCCAGTTACCCTAGCAACCGCATAGTTACACCCTAGTAACCACCTAGAGTAAAGTAGCAACCGCATAGCAACACCCTAGCAACAGCTTGGGTACCATCGCAACCACAGTGTTCATCGTCTATTTGATTACATCTTTAATTGATTTTCCGTACATTTCTGCCATATGTACATTAACTGACAGTCACCACTGATAAGCTACCACTAAATATATTGTAGAAACTTAATTTTCTGTAAAGTTGATTTGAAACGATTTGTATTGTGAAAAGCGCTATACAAATAAACTTGAACTTGAACATAGTAGCACCCTAGCAACCACCCAAAGTACCTTAGCAACCACACAGCAACACCCTAGCAATGGCCCTGGGTACCTTAGCAACTGCATAGCAACATCCTAGCAACTAGGGCTGCACGATATTGGAAAAAACTCACATTGTGATATTTTGTTTTTCTGCGATATATATTGCGATATGAAAAAATAAAAATCACCAGATGACTTTAATAGCTCTATTTGGAAAAAAATAATCAATGATTGGGGTGATTTTGTAGGCGAGTAAATCAGCATAGAAAATAAACAAATTACAAGCATAGATAGCATAAATATAATAGAACAAAGATACAAATGAAATGCTTTATATTTTTCAGGTAGGCTTAAGTCTAATAGTATTCAGGTGCAGAAATTGAATAATCAAATGTAAAATAACACTACATAGACTTCACTGTATAAAATAAATCTAATAAATCTGTGTTAAAGCTACAAAAGTGTTTTGTTGTTTGATTAACATCATGACACAAAAAGCCTCCGGAACATTAAACTGCTGTGAACCAATATACTGTTACACATCCATTTTCTTTCTCAACTGTTTACCTTCACCTAAACCATAAGCAACTGTTTTTACAAGGATACTTGCAGAGACATGCATTTGACAATTCCTCGCGATGTGGCGCGACAAAATACTATAGAACCCTTTATAGATGCGGCTTGGTGCGACACGACAAATCCCCGACAGTAAACTGATGCCATGTTTTATTTATGACAAACTGACACAAAGTTCAAATGATTTGTAACGGTCGCTTTTCGCGTCCAGTGTAGACAGACTTTAGCTGTGGTGGCGCGGAGCGTGTCGCGTCCGGTGTAGACACGGTGTCTGTGTGTTCAAAGAAAACAATCAGTATAAATATAACAATCAGTATACTAAACATCGCACATCCCGCGATGTGACTATCGCGGATGCGCACATCGCAATATCGAATGCTGAAACGATATATCGTGCAGCCCTACTAGCAACCACCCCAGGTAGCCTAGCAACCGCATAGTAACACTCTAGCAACTACCCTGAGTACCTTAGCAACCGCATAGCAACACCCTAGCAATGGCCCTGGGTACCTTAACAACTGCATAGTAACACTCTAGCAATCACCCCAGATAGCCTAGCAACCGCATAGCAACACCCTAGCAACCACCCCAGGTAGTTTAGCAACACCCTAGCAACCACTTTGGGTACCCTAGCATCCGCATAGCAACACCTAAGCAACCAACCCAGGTAGCCTAGCAACCACCAAGAATACCCTAGCAACTGCATAGCAACCTCTTAGCAACCACCCTAAATACCCTAGTAAGCACATAGCAGCACACTAGCAACCAGCCCGGGTACCTTAGCAACGGCAGAGCAAAAGACTAGCACCCACCCCAAGTACTAGGGCTGTCAAAATGGCTGAAAAACTAAATTCGAATTCGAATTTTGTACTTAAATATTATCAAAATTCAAATTATATTCGAATTTAAACTGCAGAATTTCAGTTAGGGTGAAGAAAAGCTTTTGGCTTCTCTCCTGAGGCCACAAGAGGGCGCATCTAGCAAAGTATTACTAATGCACGTTTATTCAAAGCATAAGATACCATGACTATATGTGAAATAAAGTGCATAATGTTTAAAATAATGTTTATAAACCAATTATAATTAAGTTGCTTAAACAACTATAAACAAAACAGCATCATGCATGTATGCATAGTTTAATACAAAGGACCGAAAGCCAATCACACGGAGTACATTTTTCATTTAAAAACACGAGTTGCAGCGGCATGAGGAAAAACCCGCCATAAAGTCTCGAGATATGTTTTTTCAAAGTTGAACTTGCATTAATATAACATTGCTTTCTAAACATGCGGCTCTTTTGTGCGAGACGCGAGTGCAACGCTGATAGATGTCCCTCTAGAAAATGCGCATCGATGTTCTCTTTTCCTGCAATATTAGTAATTAACAACGCAGCAGCGCCGCATCTAGTGGCTTCAACTGGATAGGCTAACAAAAACATTCAAATGCAACGACACTAACATCGTCATCGCATCTCGTGCGCCGCTGATAAGGCTGCGTCCTTAACGCACACCTAAAATTAAAATGCAACGTTTTTGCATTCGAATGTGGATTTTTAATTTAAATTCGACGAATATTCGAAATTAGAATTTTTTTTGACAGCCCTACCAAGTACCCTAGCAACCACATAGCAATACCTTAGCAACTACCCCAGGTACCCTAGAAACACCCTGAGTACCCTAGCGATCTGTTCTTCTGATAGACTGTATTGCCTTCAAAACATTCAAACTTTAATCTTTAAAACTATTTTAAGTATTTCAAACTACTTCAAACTTTAAAAAACTTTTACAAACTTTCTGGCTAGGCTTTTTCAAGCCAACTTAAAATTTGTCTGCGAATTTACTATCTAGTTTATTCCTGTGAAGCAACACTGAGGTTTCATCAGCCAGTACTCCAGTCTTAAGTCTCACACAATTTCTATTTTGAATAAATGCTGTTCTCTTGAGCGTTCTATTCATCAAAGAATCCTGAAAAAAGTATCACGTTCATAAAAATATTAAGCAGCACAAGTATTTCCAACATTAATAATAAATCAGCATATTATACTGATTTCTGAAGATCATGTGACACTGAAGACTGGAGGAATGATGCTGAAAATACAGCTGCGCATCACAGAAATACATTACAGTTTAACAGATACTCACATAGAAAACAGCTGTTTTACATTGTAATAATATTTCACTGTTTTACTGTATTTTTGATCAAATAAATTCAGCCCTGATGAGCAGAAGAGACTTCTTTTCAAAAACATTCAAAACTTTAATGACCCCAAACTTTCGACTGGCAGTATACACTGGTAAGGTAAGAAGTATATATTTACATATATATAGTGAAACATTTTAGCAAATATATTTTTGGCCATTTTTTTGTATATTTAAAAATAGATATTTTTTTGGCATATGGGACGTGACTGATGTGGGAAAAATGATGAAGGGTGGAAGGAAGGAATGGAAATGTGTGACTTTGCAAAACACTAATAACAATAATTATAACATTCTCTCTTTTTAACCGTTCAGTTATCATGTTCAGGCAGACTAGTGATTAACTGACTAAACCAGTGTCTTACCTGGTGATCTCCAGCACTTTCTTCAGCACACACGCCAGTTTACACACCTACAATGAAGAATCACATCATTCATGAGCACTGGAAACTATTACAGCCAAACACACACACACACACACACACACACACTCTCTCTCTCTCTCACACACACACACTCTCTATCTCTCTCACACACACACACACAAACACAAACACACACACTCTCACAAACTCATCACACTCACACGCACACACACACACACAGTCTCACACACACACACACACACACACACTCTCTCTCTCTCTCACACACACACACTCTCTATCTCTCTCACACACACACACACAAACACAAACACACACACTCTCACAAACTCATCACACTCACACGCACACACACACACACAGTCTCACACACACACACACACACACACACTCTCTCTCTCTCTCACACACACACACTCTCTATCTCTCTCACACACACACACACAAACACAAACACACACACTCTCACAAACTCATCACACTCACACGCACACACACACACACAGTCTCACACACACACACACACACACACACTCTCTCTCTCTCTCACACACACACACTCTCTATCTCTCTCACACACACACACACAAACACAAACACACACACTCTCACAAACTCATCACACTCACACGCACACACACACACACAGTCTCACACACACACACACACACACACACTCTCTCTCTCTCTCACACACACACACTCTCTATCTCTCTCACACACACACACACAAACACAAACACACACACTCTCACAAACTCATCACACTCACACGCACACACACACACACAGTCTCACACACACACACACACACACACACTCTCTCTCTCTCTCACACACACACACACTCACACACACACACACACACACTCTCACACACACACACAAGTTTGGATGAATTAATCAAAAGTAGGTCATTACAGTTAAATAAAATCGCAATATTAAGCCGCAAAAATACCATTTAAATATGAATCCTGTATGTTCATGAACCCATAAATACATGAACATCTCCAAAACTGCTCTGAGAGTCACTTCATGAGCATTTTACGGTAAAATTACCATTTAATTTTAGCAAAACTAGAGTCATATCACGTACACACAGAACTGTAAAGGTATTCACGGCAACCCGTCAAAATAAAAGTCTGGTTTAACTTGAAGATATTGTGCCAGAAATATATTACTGTTATTCAGTAGCCTACTACTAGTAGTAAAATGAAACAAACATTATTTTTTAGGGAATAATCACATATTTCTTCCATGTTTTAATTTTAATAGTAAATACACTTTGTTTGCCAAAAAAATCAAGCTTGCTTAATTGTCAATAATTAAAATTAAATGAAATTAATGTTATATGCCTTCATTTGAAAAACAGAAAAATTTTAACACAACACAAAATTTCTGAGGAAAAAAAAATTTCAAAATGCTATTTTAAGAACAAATTTGAATAAATTAAGCTGTTTTATGCATTCAAATAACATAAGTAACAATTTTTTTTTGCTTCAAATATGAATGTATGTTCTTGGATTGAAATATATGGAGGGCAAAATGTAGTTTAAATTATATATATATATAATTTAAAACAAATTAAGTTGTTTTATGCATTCAAATAATTAGACGTGCTAAAAAAAAGCATTTAGTAACAATAAAACATATGGTGAGAAAAAAAGAAAACACTTCACAGGGCCCTAAACATGTCATTTTTGTTAAAATTTCAATTTATTAAAAGTGTCTGTCCCTGATGCACAGTAAATATCTCCACTAGTTTGCTGAAGTAAATCCACACACATGAGCTCGGATTAAACCCACGACTCACCTGTTCCTCGTGACTAATGATCTGGCACACCTAAATACAGCTGTGTCCTAGTGATGCCATTCATAACACCGAGACAGATCACGACATGCTGGGATTCATCCAGAGAGAGCGAGGGGCTCGTCTGAACTCGTCTCGTGTGTGTGACGATAGACTTACGTTCATCTCGACGGCCGACCGCTCCACGGGGGGGTAGAGACTGAGGGCGAGGTCATCAACGCTAACGACACAAACACAACCCTCATTATCATCAGACACTGATATGTAGAAGGTTTGGCTGGGTGGTGATGTTTGGTGTGGCATGGTTTTAATGACACGGAGAAAGTGTGAGTGTGTTTGTTTGTACTTGTTTTGGACCAGATGTCCTCACTTCTATTGTGAAATACTTTCAGGCCATTTGACTGCTCCTCACTAGTTAAACAGGCTTATTAATCAGCCAGAAGATGTTTTGTTCTGCACATGTTTCTGTGAGGGGTGAGTTTAGGGGTAGGTGTTGGTTGGCTGATAGAAAACATCATTAACCTGATAGAAAATCTATGCAATGTCCTCACTAAGATAGCCAAACAAATGTGTGTGAGTGAGTGAGTGAGTGAGTGAGTGAGCGTGTGTGTGTGTGAGAGATAAAACAGGTTTGATTACCAGTGAATGGAAATGATCAGTGTTAAATGTGATAACACTTTACCAACATTTACCAATCAGAAACAACGTTTACACTACCATTCAAAAGTCTCTTCTGCTCACCAAGGCTGCGTTTATCGGATCCAGATGAAAAATACAGTAAAAATTATGAAATATTATTGCAATTTAAAATAATGGTTTTATATGTTAATATCTGTTAATGTATTTCTGTGATGCGCAGCTGTATTTTCAGCATCATTCCTCCAGTCTTCAGTGTCACATGATCTTCAGAAATCAGTATAATATGCTGATCTGCTGCTCCAGAAACATTTCTGATTATTATCAATGTTGAAAACGGTTCAATATTGTTGTGGAAACCGATACATTTTATTTCTCAGGATTCACAGATGAATAGAAAGTTCAAAAGAACAGCATTTACTCGAAAAAGAAATCTACTGTAACACTATAAATGTCTTCACTGTTATTTTTGATCAATTTAATGTGTCCTTGATGAATAAAAATTAAAATAACTCCTACTGTCCCCAGCCTTTTGAATGATAGTGTGTATCATTTAAATGATTAAAGACATTCAAAACATTTCACCATGAGTGGCACGAGTTAACACTTCAATATAACACTCAATAACATCTCAACTAATAGATCCATTCCTTAAACGTCACAAACTGTTTTCAGTCATTCAATATTTTACAGAATGACCTACAAGACTTTGCTTTGCTCTCTAACTCCTGTAATCGACTCACCTGGGACTGATTTCTTTAGCTGCGTCTGCGAGGTCGTCTAGCTGCGCGATGTTCTCGTCCGTCTCCAGTTTGCCGTTGTTTCTGACGGCGGAGGAGAGTTTGCGCAGACTCGCTCCGGACGCCTTCATCAGACCCTGACACCGAGCGATCAGCAGCCGGTCCGACTCGGACCAGTACGTGTCCTGATTACCCCTGCCGTCTGCTTCATCATCATCATCAACATCCAACACGTCCCCAAACGGGTCCTGAGCTTCAGCCAGAGCCTTAACAGAGAAGAGCAGCAGTTCTCATGAATACTAGATATGTTTGCATCCACCTATTTTTATGTGCATTTTGGAATATTGCATAAAAAAAACGCTGGATAGAAATGCTAAGATGCAAATAAATTCTAAAAATGTGCATAAAAAAAAAATGTAAGTGCACATTTGAGTAGGATGAACTTTTTATTCAATAAGAAAAACTGCGCATAAACTACAATGGAAACAAATTTCCTTAATAACTTCCACCATGCGCATCGAACAGTCATGTGATGTGCGCTGAGACGGGATAACTGGACTAACCAGCGGGCCGATCTCGTTCACAGCATCTATATGTTGTTCTGAAAGGCCTGAGCAAAGCCTGTCGTTAAAGTATTTCTGTATAATTGTCTTAAACGACCGTGTTCCCAAACAGCAGCATCCTCCTCCTCCTCACGCATTTATTGTGTTCCGTCTGCTCGCTCTGAGGCGCAAGTCATTTATCACATATTACAATTATTATATTCAGTGGCTTCTCCTAGTTTTCTGTGTGATATTTAGAGCCAGTTTATCAGGAAGTGATGCTTTTGTTCTCTTTGTCTCGCTGCATGGAAACGGTGCTAATGTTTTATGCGATATTCCAGTTTTGCGCATTAGTTAAATTCTCATTAGTCAATGTGTGACTTTCTGTAAAGACAATATTAGGCAGACTAGGTCACCAGCTAGAGGTGGCCGTTCAACTAAATTTAAGAAAACTGTTTTTGGACAATCAGCTTTTTGAGTTAGAGCAGCAGAAAGATGGAATTTAATACATGGTTATATTAGAGAGTGTACAACATTTAGTATTTTTAAAACTATGCCTAAAGTGTGACCCTGGAGCACAAAAGCAGTCATAAGGGTCAATTTTATGAAATTGAGATGCATGCATCATCTGAACGCTGAATAAATAGCTTTCCATTGATGTATGGTTTGTTAGGATAGCACAATATTTGGCTGAGATACAACTATTTGAAAATCTGGAATCTGAGGGTGCAAAAAAAAATCTAAATATTGAGAAAATCATCTTTAAAGTTGTTCAAATGAAGTTCTTAGCAATGCATATTACTAATCAAACATTAAGCTTATTGTAGGAAATGTACAAAATATCTTCATGGAACATGATCTTTACTTAATATCCTAATGATTTTTGGCATAAAAGAGAAATGTATAATTGTGACCCATACAATGTATTGTTGGCTATTGCTACAAATATCCCCCAGCGCCTTAACACTGCTTTTGTGCTGCAGGGACACATATATGTGATCATTGTCTTGATTTTTAATTTAATGGAGTATGATGTGATATTGTATTGTTTGTGATTGAATATTGTCATTTTGTAACAACATCCTGCCCAGGGACTGCAGATGCAAATTAGCTTTAAATGAAACAAACAAACATGTTTGTATGGAAACATAGCTACTGACACACATGAGCAACAGCTATATTAAAAAACAATCTTCATTCAGCCATAAGCCTGTTCTAGATGATCTCTGACCTGCTCCATCTCCTCCGAGGCGTCTTTCACCAAACCAACACATGACGTCAAGACGCTCAACACAGCACTGCGGTTATCTGTGAGGAACGACACATCAGGAGAACTCACCTTAAACACTGAACACTTACATGAATTCATGTGCTTGTGCAGATAAACTGAATATGTGTCCCTGCAGCACAAAAGCAGTGTTGAGTCGCTGGGGGATATTTGTAGCAATAGCCAACAATACATTGTATGGGTCACAATTATACATTTCTCTTTTATGCCAAAAATCATTAGGATATTAAGTAAAGATCATGTTCCATGAAGATATTTTGTAAGTGTCCTACCGTAAATATATCAAAACGTAATGTTTGATTAGTAATATGCATTGCTAAGAACTTCATTTGAACAACTTTAAAGATGATTTTCTCACTATTTAGATTTTTTTGCTCCCTCAGATTCCAGATTTTCAAATATTGTGCTATCCTAACAAACCATACATCAATGGAAAGCTATTTATTCAGCTTTCAGATGATGCATACATCTCAATTTCACAAAATTGACTCTTATGACTGCTTTTGTGCTCCAGGGTCACTGCCAAATATCAAAAGTCACAAATGTGTCTTGTCGTTCGGTTCTGCATTATTCCAGAGGTGAATTACTCTAGTACTAGTTAGTCGCCGTCAAACCTTTCGGCAGCTGGTTAAACTGGTCACACGCGGCCCAGACGCCTCCGGTGGACATCAGCTGCTCCTGCGAGAGACTGAGGAGAACACATCAAACTAATCATTCAGACTCACTGGAATCTCCCGTACACAGTGCATAGGAACTCATGAGAACATGACATGATGTGAATATAATACAACCTTTCTCCAGGAGAGCAGAGCAGAGCCTCGAGCAGCTGAGCGAGTCCATCCAGCACCTGCGCCGTGGCGTCTCGGAGCACCTTCCTCAGCGTAACTCCTGCAGAAAACAACACTCACGTCACTGGGTCAGCTGTCAGCAGTGTTGCCACTAAATGTAGCAACTTCTCAGACTACCCTAGCATCGTTCCAAAAGCACCTAGCAACAAATGTAGCAATTTTAAAAATGTATTTGGCAACTTTTAGCAACTTTTGATAAGTGACTCAGACAATAAAGACACATTTCCATCACACAAAAAGATGCCTCGCAGTAAACACATCACGTGAACCCAGTTGTTTGCAACTGTTACATTTAATTATAATAATAATAATAATGTAATAATTGTTCATTTATGATGCACTTTGTTAGTAGCTTGTACCTGCGATTGTTGATCAGTTAGTACACTGCAAGTAAAATGGAAAAGATACTAGTAATTTTAGTGACCTGAAAACACAACGCGTAATTTAAAATGCAGGTAACATTTTCCAAAACGTAAAATTCTTTCATATTACTAAAGTAGATTGTGCGCTATATTCACAGACTTGAGTGTAGCATACTAACTAACTACTAATACTCTGCTTAAAGCATCACTGTTGAACAACGTCTTTTAGCAACAAATCGACCTTCCTTTAGCAACTTCTGCTGAACATTAGCTGGCAGCGCTGCTTGTCAGTTTGTTACTTTCTGAGTTTCTCAACAACAGTTCGTTACAGGGTCACGAGACGTCTTGTGTAACAGACAAATGAGCAAATAAAGACGAGAAGGAGCCGTTTCATGTGAAAGTTGAGATGACAGATTAATCAAGTAGATGATCATAAACAACTGTAACCGCTCATGGATCCAAAATATGATGTATTATGAAAATACTTATCATTTCATGTGGTTGTTTTGTATTTTACACCACCAGTTAAAAGTTTTTGGACGGTAGGATTTGTAATGTTTTTAATGAAGGCTCTTCTGCTCACCAAGCCTGCATTTATTTGATCCAAAGTACAGCAAGAGCAGTACAATTCTGAAATATTATTAGAATGTAAAACAGCTGTTTTCTAAGTGAATCTCTGTTAAACTGTAATGTATTTCTGTGATGCGCAGCTGTATTTTCAGCATCATTCCTCCAGTCTTCAGTGTCTCATGATCTGTACTGCTTTTGCTGTACTTTGGATCAAATAAATGCAGGCTGCAGAAGAGACGTCTTTAAAAACATTAAAAATCTTACCGTCCAAAAACGTTTGACTGGTGGTGTAGGTAAGGTCACTTTAGCTTCTAGAGATGGTTACACTGCTTTAGCATTAGTGTCATAGTTACCTTGGCTCTTTGGTAACCAAAAATAAACCGTAGTCAACGTCAACACGCTCTTCTGAACAGATTCGGCTATTTTCACACAACCCTGGAGTGAGGAGAACCAGAACAACACCATCTCAGACGCAGAAAACACACAATAGCACGACAGGTTGTTATATTCATATTCTGAAGGGGTCAACGGTCAGTCTGAAGGGGTCAACGGTCAGTCTGATGGGGTCAAAGGTCAGTCTGAAGGGGTCAAAGGTCAGTCTGAAGGGGTCAAAGGTCAGTCTGAAGGGGTCAAAGGTCAGTCTGAAGGGGTCAAAGGTCAGTCTGAAGGGGTCAAAGGTCAGTCTGAAGGGGTCAAAGGTCAGTCTGAAGGGGTCAAAGGTCAGTCTGAAGGGGTCAACGGTCAGTCTGATGGGGTCAAGGTCAGTCTGAAGGGGTCAACGGTCAGTCTGATGGGGCCAAAGGTCAGTCTGAAGGGGTCAAAGGTCAGTCTGAAGGGGTCAACGGTCAGTCTGATGGGGTCAACGTCAGTCTGAAGGGGTCAACGGTCAGTCTGATGGGGTCAACGGTCAGTCTGATGGGGTCAACGGTCAGTCTGATGGGGTCAACGGTCAGTCTGATGGGGTCAACGGCACCTCCTCTGATGGCAGCGGCGGCTTCGAGAACATCACGCTGAGTTTTGTTGCTTCTTGAGACGCTGCTTTAACAGCTTCATCTGCGAAATGAGGAAAACAGGAGTGAGTCATTATGAAGTCAAACAATACTCAGATAAAATATGATCATCATAAATAATAATAAACACTGAACTCATAATCTCCCAGAAGTTTGACAAGCTGAACGCCCCGCTGCATTCATTCGACTCTCCATCTGAAAGACACAAAACACTCATAAAATACTTCACATTAGTCCATTTATGTCTGTTTAATATTTAAGAGCATCTTAAGGTGTGTTCTCATCGCGATTAATCGTTTGAAAGCACTACCATATCACACTTTTACACGTTCATCACGGCTGTTAAATGACAGTAAACATCACGACTAGAACACTAACCTGCTACCTACCGGCTGTTAGCACCAGAGAAGACGTAAACACTATTATTTTCAGCCAGCGAGTTAAACTCTTCGTTGTTTACATTGTTAGCATTGGCTGTTAGCCGTTAGCATCACACAGACACAGCTCAAGTCTGTCGTTAAATAACATGACAGGATCCCATCGTACCTCTCACTCGATCCCTGCTGCTTTTCACGGAGTTACAGAGGTTTCGTAACGGCAGCAGAGCATCTGGACGCGAGTTATCGGCGCTCATGGCTCGGTTCGCGTCTGTCTCGTGGATCCGCGGAACGAATGTCAGGCGGAACGGAAGATCGCACGAGTGTCGCGCCGGAATGATTCTGTGCTGCACCGTGCGGGCCATCTGAGCGTGTTTAGAGTTAAAGTACAGCAAAAACTACAATTTTGAAATAACTTTTCTATTTGAATATATTTAAAAATATAATTCATTGCTGTCATTTCATTCAGCATCATTACTCCAGTCACATGATCCGCAGAAATCATTCTAATGTTCTTATTTGCTGCTTAAAAACATTTATTATTATTATTATTATGATGTTGAAAACAGCTGAGTAGAAGTTTTTCAGGTTTCACAGCTGAATAGAAAGTTCAGAAGAGCAGCATTTATCTAAAATAGAAATCTTTTGTAACATTATAAACGTCTTTATCATCACTTTTGATCGATTTAATATAATTGATCGATTTGAACATATTTGTTACAAACAATTACATATTTTAAATAAAATGATGCAATTAAAAACCAACGTTCTGCACTTTTTAAAAGATATTTAGGGCGTCGTGCAACAACTGCTACACGCTTTGCTTAAAATAAAATTCTAAATAAGTTTTTGTGTTCAACATGCTGTTTGTAATTATTAAGCAGACACTGTCAGTATTCGCTTTAGACAGCAGGTGGCGCTCCACGATAACAAAACCAGTGTAGCTGCTTTAAACCAACTAAGACTAAGTGTCCACACAATGAGCAGAACACTGATGACCCTCCTCATCCTCACTGACTGATGAAGAGCTGCTGAATCAAAGCACTTCTACTACACTAAAGGTAAAACTTGTGTTGTATTCTGTGCTCTTATCAATATTATAGTTATGAATATTATTGCTGTACTGAATTATAATTCATTATATGTGTGTCCCTGCAGCACAAAAGCAGTGTTAAGTCGCTGGGGGATATTTGTAGCAATAGCCAACAATACATTGTATGGGTCACAATTATACATTTCTCTTTTATGCCAAAAATCATTAGGATATTAAGTAAAGATCATGTTCCATGAAGATATTTTGTACATTTCCTACCGTAAATATATCAAAACATTAAAAAAAGCATTGCTAAGAACTTCATTCTGATGATTTTCTCAATATTTAGATTTTTTTGCACCCTCAGATTCCAGATTTGCCAAATATTGTGCTATCCTAACAAACCATACATCAATGGAAAGCTATTTATTCAGCTTTCAGATGATGCATGCATCTCAATTTCACAAAATTGACCCTCATGACTGGTTTTGTGCTCCAGGGCCACATATAATTATAATTATAGCATGTATGAATAGAGTGACCGTTCAACATCAAAGTATCACTACAATGTTTTTTTATCAGTGAAGCACATAACAAAGCTGATCTGTGTTTGTGCTGTTGCTGTAGGCTCCTCTGTGTGTGTTTACCGCGGTGAAGGCTCTCTCAGCATCATGCCTCCTCAGCTGCCGTCTCAGAACCAGCCCAGCGCTCGTGTGCTGCAGGGAGATCTGGCGTCTCTGAGCGCGTCCCTGCGAGACTTCATCGAGAGCAGTGTGAAGCTGTGTCAGCCGGACGCTCTGCACATCTGCGACGGCTCCGAGGAGGAGAACCGCTCCATTCTGCGTCTCCTGGAGGAGCAGGGGGTCATCAAGAGACTCAGCAAATACAACAACTGGTACGAGCGTCTGATTCACACGAGTAACGTTTAATTACTCTGTCGCTCAACTCCACCACAGGATAAAAAACATGCTTTTTATCTCACAATTCTGACTGAGAGAAAAAGTCAGAGTTATAAGATGTAAACTCACACTTCTAAGGGGAAAAAAAACTATTGCATGATGATAGCAAAGAATTATGAGGAATAAATACATGAATTTATCATGTAATCTCAAAATTGTCAGAATTGAAAAAGAGGCAGAATTGTACAATTCAAAACTTTTTATAGGATGAAGCAGCTTCGTGGCACCAAAATGAAATCTTCTGCTACAAATGACATTAAAATTATCTGGTTTAAAGTGTTTCTTTGGCACCAGGCCACATCATATTCTGATTTAGTTATGGGTCACATTCGAAATGCACTAGAACTACCAAAACACTACATTAATGCCTCAAATCAAGTCATTCTAGCAGAGATTTTCACCAAACAAACATGCAACTGCTTTGATAGTATTTGATTTTTTACATTCAGAATATATGTGTCTCTGGAGCACAGAAGCAGTGTTAAGTCGCTGGGGGATATTTGTAGCAATAGCCAACAATACATTGTATGGGTCACAATTATACATTTCTCTTTTATGACAAAAATCATTAGGATAAGATTATTTATTCAGCTTTCAGATGATGCATAAATCTCAATTTTAAAAAAATTGAGAAATGTATTGAGAAATGCATCCTAATGATGGTAAAACCCTGTGTATGTGTGTGTGTGTGTGCAGGTCGTGTGATGTACATGATCCCGTTCAGCATGGGTCCCGTGGGCTCTGCGCTCTCGAAGATCGGCGTGGAGCTGACCGACTCTCCGTATGTAGTGGCCAGCATGAGGATCATGACGCGTGTGGGTGAAGCTGTGCTGAGCGCTCTGGGCAGCGGAGAGTTCGTGCGCTGTCTGCATTCAGTCGGCTGCCCGCTGCCACTCAAGAGTACGAGCTCTTCATTCACCTGCTCCATTACATTTACATTTAGTCATTTAGCAGACACTTTTATTCAGAGCCACTGAGGACAACAGAAGCAACAAAACTAACAAAAGAGCAGTTGCTCCAGGGACACATTTTTGTTTAGTGCAAGAATTTAATTCATTAGCTGCTTTCAGTAAATACTAGAGAACAGTGCAGTAAATGGTAATTTTTTTTACTGTTTATGATTTAATACATTATTTTTTTATATATACTATATATATATATATATATATATATATATATATATATATATATATATATTATATTTAAATTTTTTATTTATATAATTTCTCTTTTATGCCAAAAATCATTAGGATATTAAGTAAAGATCATGTTCCATGAAGATATTTAGTAAATCTCCTACCGTAAATATATCAAAACTTAATGTTTGATTAGTAATATGCATTGCTAAGAACTTCATTTGAACAACTTTAAAGATGATTTTCTCAATATTTAGATTTTTTTGCACCCTCAGATTCCAGATTTTCAAATATTGTGCTATCCTAACAAACCATACATCAATGGAAAGAATATTATTCAGCTTTCAGATGATGCATAACTCTCAATTTCTAAAAATTGATCCTTATGACTGGTTTTGTGCTCCAGGGACACATTTTTGTTTAGTGCAAGAATTTAATTCATTAGCTGCTTTCAGTAAATACTAGAGAACAGTGCAGTAAATGGTAATTTTTTTTACTGTTTATGATTTAATACATTATTTTTTTATATATACTATATATATATATATATATATATATATATATATATATGTAATACTAATATATTATATTTATATTATTATTATATTTATAATATATTTATATACCAACATTTTGAATACATTTAAATACATTACAAGAATAATGTAATTGAAATAATAAAATAAATACCAGTTTGTGATATTAAGCAGCATAACCGGATTTTTTATACAGCTAAAAAACAGCAAGTTAAAAATGCCTGCACCTGCTATTACATTAAAAATAAGGTGGATAGGATCATGCCAAGCAAAATAATATGAATTTCTTGCAAAAGCAGTTATTTCAAAAAATAAACAAAAATGTATATATATATATATTATGCACTTCAGATAAAAGCATCTGCTAGATGCATAAATGTAATGTAAATGCAATGCAAAAAAGAATTAGGAGGTGAATATCTGCAGATGCACAATCACTTAAAACTAAAGAGCATGAGAATAATGAACTGATTTATTGACTGACTCTGAACTCTGACACACTGAACATCAATGTGTGTTTCTGCAGATCCTGGGCATCACTAACCCGGCGGGACAGAAGAAGTACTTCGCAGCGGCGTTCCCGAGCGCCTGTGGAAAGACCAACCTGGCCATGATGAAGCCGTCGCTGCCGGGCTGGAAGGTGGAGTGTGTCGGAGACGACATCGCCTGGATGAAGTTTGACAAAGACGGTACAGATCAATGATGCTCAGACACATCACACCACATGAGTTAGAACTGAGATGGGTGATCATTACAGTTTTGTCAACTGCTTACACACATTTTCAAAACTTTGCCTCTTATTTTTTTCAAAACTTCACACACAAATCCAAGAATTGCACACAAAATGCAAAATGCTAAAGGCTTAGAATTAGTGTATGGTTTTGTAGATCTGGTGTGTGCTTCTGCTGTTGAGCTTTCAGAAACTGTGTGACTGTAAGCAGTTGAAAGGAACTGTAAGTGTTAAGATGTTCTTGCTCATTCATTGATGGTCTCTGCTCTTGTGTTTGAAGGCAATCTCAGAGCCATCAACCCAGAGAACGGCTTCTTCGGTGTGGCGCCAGGAACCTCCACCAAAACCAACCCGAACGCAATGGCCACCATCTACCAGAACACCATCTTCACCAACGTGGCGGAGACCAGCGACGGCGGTGTGTACTGGGAGGGCATGGATGAGGATCTGCCAGCCGGTGTGACGCTGACCTCCTGGAAGAACCAGCCGTGGACACCGGAGGACGGTAGGTCTCGTCTCATTCAGAGTCCTCTGCACAATCTGACTTTGCTGCAGCCTAGAATCAGGCTAACCCTTTAACTGTCACACTGCAAAAAATGTGTTTCTTACTTACTTGTTTTCAGCCAAAATATCTAAAAATTCTTAAATCAAGAAGGATTTTCAAGACAAGTACAAAGTATTGTCTTGTTTTCAGAAAAACATGTCAGTTTTTGCCTGGAACAAGCAAAATAATCTCGTTTTCTGTTTGGAATAAGATTATTTTGCGTGTTCTAAGCAACAACTCACTTAATTTTGAAATTTTTTTTCTGAAAACAATACAATAGTTTGTAATTGTCTAGAAAATCCTTCTTGATTTAAGAATTTTTTGATATTTTGGCTGAAAACAAGTAAGAAAAGCATTTTTTGCGGTGTGCTCCCATTTCTGAACATAGAAATGAAAGTGCACAATCCAAACATAAGCTGTTATAATTCATGAACGAGACATTTAGTCCTTGTCTACTGTACACGAGTACGTTTTCGTTTGAAAACGCATCTTTTTATCTCTGTTTTGGCCTTCGGTCCACACTGAGAGAGGAAAACAGAGTCTTTTGAAAATGATTTCCAAAGTGGATAAATTTGAAAACGCTGTTGTAGTGTGAACTGTGAAAACTAGTGCTGTCAAACACATTAGATCCTCGTCAGCCTCTCTGACTCGTGTTGTGTTCCTCGACTGAGCCTGGTTTCTCCCAAGGTTTGTTCTCCATTCTGTCAGCAATGCAGTTTTGGTTCCTCTGGCTTGCTTAGTTGGGGACACTTAATATCCAGCGATATCGTGGACTTGCACAGACACTGTTTAAACTGAACTGGAGGACGACATCACTGAATCAATGATGAACTGAGTGCTTACTGTTGTACTTTTGCATTACTGCACACTATTTGTCCTATTTAAGAGTGTAAAGCTGCTTTGACACATCTGTACTGTTAAAAGCATTATATAAATAAAGGTGACTGTCAACTTGCTCATTCATTGATGGTCTCTGCTCTTGTGTTTGAAGGCAATCTCAGAGCCATCAACCCAGAGAACGGCTTCTTCGGTGTGGCGCCAGGAACCTCCACCAAAACCAACCCGAACGCAATGGCCACCATCTACCAGAACACCATCTTCACCAACGTGGCGGAGACCAGCGACGGCGGTGTGTACTGGGAGGGCATGGATGAGGATCTGCCAGCCGGTGTGACGCTGACCTCCTGGAAGAACCAGCCGTGGACACCGGAGGACGGTAGGTCTCGTCTCATTCAGAGTCCTCTGCACAATCTGACTTTGCTGCAGCCTAGAATCAGGCTAACCCTTTAACTGTCACACTGCAAAAAATGTGTTTCTTACTTACTTGTTTTCAGCCAAAATATCTAAAAATTCTTAAATCAAGAAGGATTTTCAAGACAAGTACAAAGTATTGTCTTGTTTTCAGAAAAACATGTCAGTTTTTGCCTGGAACAAGCAAAATAATCTCGTTTTCTGTTTGGAATAAGATTATTTTGCGTGTTCTAAGCAACAACTCACTTAATTTTGAATTTTTTTTTCTGAAAACAATACAATAGTTTGTACTTGTCTAGAAAATCCTTCTTGATTTAAGAATTTTTTGATATTTTGGCTGAAAACAAGTAAGAAAAGCATTTTTTGCGGTGTGCTCCCATTTCTGAACATAGAAATGAAAGTGCACAATCCAAACATAAGCTGTTATAATTCATGAACGAGACATTTAGTCCTTGTCTACTGTACACGAGTACGTTTTCGTTTGAAAACGCATCTTTTTATCTCTGTTTTGGCCTTCGGTCCACACTGAGAGAGGAAAACAGAGTCTTTTGAAAATGATTTCCAAAGTGGATAAATTTGAAAACGCTGTTGTAGTGTGAACTGTGAAAACTAGTGCTGTCAAACACATTAGATCCTCGTCAGTCTCTCTGACTCGTGTTGTGTTCCTCGACTGAGCCTGGTTTCTCCCAAGGTTTGTTCTCCATTCTGTCAGCAATGCAGTTTTGGTTCCTCTGGCTTGCTTAGTTGGGGACACTTAATATCCAGCGATATCGTGGACTTGCACAGACACTGTTTAAACTGAACTGGAGGACGACATCACTGAATCAATGATGAACTGAGTGCTTACTGTTGTACTTTTGCATTACTGCACACTATTTGTCCTATTTAAGACTGTAAAGCTGCTTTGACACATCTGTACTGTTAAAAGCATTATATAAATAAAGGTGACTGTCAACCGTTGTCCTCCAGGAGAACCTTGCGCTCATCCTAACTCACGCTTCTGCACGCCGGCCGCTCAGTGCCCCATCATCGACCCGCAGTGGGAGTCTCCCGACGGCGTCCCCATCGAGGCGGTGATCTTCGGCGGTCGGCGTCCGCAGGGGGTCCCTCTGGTCTACGAGGCCCTCAGCTGGGCTCACGGAGTGTTTGTGGGAGCCGCGATGAGATCCGAAGCCACGGCGGCCGCCGAACACACAGGTGAGATTACAGTCAAATCACATTCATTTACTCCATATATATATATATATTGCAATAAACTTATTGCAAAACCTAAAATATATTGTTTCTATAACAGGTTATATTATAAATATGCATATATATATATTGCAATATTGCAATAAACTTATTGCAAAACTTAAAATATATAGTTTCTATAGATTTAAAACTTTAAAATATTGTTTCTGTAGCATGTTATATTATAAATATGCATATATATATATATATATATATATTAGCGAAACTTAAAAATGTATTATTTCCATAGATATATAAAACTTACAAATATTGTTTCTATGGCATATGTATGCATATATGCATATTTTGCAGTAAACTTATTACAAAACATAAATTATGTTGCTTCTATAGATGCAATCAATGACTTTAAATGAGTAGTTTTATATTTCTCTATTGTTTTTAATTCAATTATGTCATTTGCAATGCTTCATGGGATTGTAGTTCTTTCCCTCATTAGCCATTAAGTTCACAGTCTTGTATCTTTGTCTTTTCAACTGATTTTCAAATAGTTTTGTGCTTCGAATCAAAGTTTGTGATTGTGATTCTCCTCTAGCTGCTTTTGGTTTGATTCATGGCTTATAACACTTTAACAAATGAATGGAAAAACACCACTAATGCACTCCCAGCACTGTAACAAATGATTCTCTTACTTAGTATTTTTGTCTTGTTTTCTAGTATAAATATCTAAACATTCTTGAAACAAGATGAATTTATTGTACAAGTAAAATGACTTAAGATTTTATGTCTTGTTTTCTGAAAAAAATGCATCAAAATGATGTTAGTTTTTCCTTAAAACAAGTAAAAGTATCTGCCAATAGGGCAATTTAGCCTTTTAAGATTATTTTTCTCACCCCATTGGCAGATATATGTTTGCTTGTTTTAAGGAAAAACTAACAACATTTTGATATATATATTTTTTTTTAGAAAACAAGACTTAATATCTTAAATAATGTCAAGTAAATGCTTCTTGATTCAAGACTGTTGAAATATTTATACTAGAAAACAAGACAAAAATACTAAGCAAGAAAATAATTTTTTGCAGCGAGTGCACTTCCATAATGTACTTAAAATGCTATATTTCCGCGCACTAATTTTGTACGCAATCTACAAAAAATTATTCTTTTTTTAAAGTACATTTTTTTATAAGATAGCATGTTAAAAGCACATTTGTGGCCCTGGAGCACAAAACCAGTCATAAGGGTCAATTTTGTGAAATTGAGATGTATGCATCATCTGAAATCTGAATAAATAGCTTTCCATTGATGTGTGGTTTGTTAGGATAGCACAATATTTGGCTGAGATACAACTATTTGAAAATCTGGAATCTGAGGGTGCAAAAAAATCTAAATATTGAGAAAATCATCTTTAAAGTTGTCCAAATGAAGTTCTTAGCAATGCATATTACTAATCAAACATTACGTTTATGGTAGGAAATTTACTAAATATCTTCAATTTTACTAGTGAAGTAATTCAAGAATTTGTAGATATTTATACTAGAAACCAAGACAAAAATACATTTTTTGCAGTGTGCGAGCTGATATTTGGAGATATTTTTAGCCTGATTTGAAGATCTGATGACTCTATGATACTGAAGGAATTAAAGGACTGTTTATAAATTATTGATGCACATTTCTATTCAGCTGGAGACTTTATAGCTAATAACTTTAAACAGTTTAACCTTTGCATTTTTCTGAAGGTCTTAAATTATTTTTGTATTTCTATGATGACTCTTGATGTCAGTCTTCCAAGATATTAATAAAGTTATTTAAACGTATGTCCAGTGTTTGTGTTTTTCTCTGCATGATCAGAGTGTTACAGAGAGTTATTCACATTTTAATACAGTTATGCGTGAAATAACTTGGCTTTCGACAGACTCGTGACAAAATGTTACAAACATTTCAGTCGGAAGAAATTGTTCAGTTCAAGAAGATGAGAAATTGTAACAAAGCAAGCAGAACTAGAAACACACTTTAACTACAGACCCACCAGAAAAGTAGAAAACATGAAAAACAAGAGAAATAAATCTGAGCAGAAAGTCTCACATTCATGAAGTCAATCTAAACACACTTAAATCAAGATACATTCTTCTGAGCCCTTTGGCAGACATTTGCTCTTGTTTTAATCACAAACAGTTTAGGAACAGAAATCATCAGAATAGAACAAACTGTTGAAGCAGTGACACAACACTCCATCAACCTGTCAGCATGATTCATAAAACCAGCAATAAATGAGAAGAAGAGGAGGAGAGGAACGCCAGAACATCAACCAATCAGAGCGAGCGTCCCTGCCTGAAGGACACGCCCCCTCAGGCCTCATGAATATATAAAACTCTTTCATTCAGCACAAATGAAGAACTAAAGCAGAAACTGAACGTTGTGATAACATCATGAGAAAGTTAGTGATGAAAGCATATCTAAGATTAATAAACCGTTGGATGAGCAGCAAAGTTTAATGTTCTGCAGATTTAATATTTTATGTCAGTCAGATATCAGCTGAAATGAACAAAGCTGCTTTCCCCCAAACTTCTTATGGACAGAAACTGCTTTTATGCAATTAATTAATTAATGCATTTAGCAGATGCTTCTACCCAAATCAGTGGAACAAAAGCAACTATATATACAATGCTAGCAGCTATATAGACAACTAGATTAGAAAGCAAGGCCTTCTCCAAGATTAACAGCAATTATTTTATTTGATTTAAATCGTTATTTTTTTTACTGGTAAAAACGTAATACTTACTCGAGCAATGTTTTAATGTTAAAGGGGTCATATGATGCAATTTCACGTTTTCCTTTCTCTTTGGAGTGTTACAAGCTCTTGGTGCATAAAGAAGATCTGTAAAAGACTAAAGTCTCAAATCCAAAGAGATATTCTTTATAAAAGTTAAGAGTCAGCCACACCTACCTAAAACAGCTCGTTCTAACACGCCCCCACATGTCTACATCACTATGTGGGAAGATTTGCATAACACCACCCAAATGTTCACGCAGAGAAAGAAGGCGTAACTTTTATTCTCGCTGTAGTATTGTTGCCGCCGCCGCCATGTTGTGAAGACGCTGTGTGCTTCGTTGTGAAAGCGAAACTACTTTGTGTGGTCTTCCAAAAGAGGACACGACTAGAAATCAGTGTTAAGTTGTATTTACAACACTGTTCCAGAACACTTCAACCCAAATATTCAGATGTGTGCAGCACATTTTATGGAGGACTGTCTCCTGATCCTGGGAGAGTAGACTACAATGCCGGCTGTTCTGACTCAGAGTCTGAATTTAAAGAATTTGCCACTGATGATTCAAACGTGAGTTTTGAGCAGTGTAGAGTAGCACTTGTTGTTTGTCATTTCTCCGATCACAAATGCAGACATGGTTTTAGGTTTACGCGGCGCGATGCAACGCAACGTGTAAAAAGACAGTATAAGTCATTATAATCAGTAATTATGTCCCCAC